GGTTTTGAATAACTGTGTGTATGTGATATATCCAACAAATATAATATTATGGCAAAGGTGTTTGCAAGATAAGACAAATGTTTGCTTTTGAGATGTGTTTCTGATATTTTGAAATGTTTAGAGTTGTGAGGTATTTTGCATTTCGTGTGTGCAGTTCTTGGATTTGTGTGTAAAGTTTTGAAAATGTGTGTAAGCAGCTGAAAAAAAACTGTAAAGAGGGGATTGGAGAGAGAGAGCAAGAGAGAGAGAGAGAGAGAGCAGAGCTGGAAAAGGAGGGTTTACAGGATGAAAAGCTCAATCCTGAGATGAGGATCAGAGAATGAGCTGAAGTTCTGGAAGACAGAGAGGTCTGACACACAAATCCTGTTATCACAGCAGCCAATGAGCAGCCGCTGATTCTGCAGAGCTTTACGCACACAGAGCACTAATGCAAGACAACAGCGCCGTTCGCATGGCCTCCCGGGGCTTTTTTAAATACCAGCATCAGATGCAATTGAAAAGGACGTGAAATCTACAATTACACATTTACACATTTTGGCAAATGTCATTTTTTTAGTCCATCTCCACCAATTGGTTTTATCTTTCATTGCATGGGCAAAACTGAAGAACGAAAGCCATGCACATTTAGAATAACATGAGGGTGAGTAAATAATGACACCACTTTAATTCAAATGTCCCTTTAAAGTCAAATTAGGGTCCAACTGTTTCATTCAACCAGTAAGACATTTGGTTAAATTGCTAATGAGTTTATTTTAGAAAGACACAGGTAACATCATATCGCAAGAGGTATTGAATGACATGAGGGCGTCTTCTGTATAGTATCCAAAACTAAAAAAAATCTAGTTTCTAGTACAAATATTGATGTTTTATACAAAACTAGTTATTGAACAGAGCCCTGGTGCCTCCAGGGCCACTGCTATGTAATAATGCATCCACCCTTCTCCTTGAAAGGGTTCTTGTCTTCTGGGACACCTTTGACCAGCGGATCTTCAGCAGACAACCCCTCAACAAACGCGATGATCTCTGGGGCTGTTGTTGAGACCTGAGAAGAAGAGTCAGGAAAGATGCTTTAAGTTTCATTGCTCAGAACGGGAATCAAATACGTAAGCAATCAGAGGATGCAGCCAAAAACTCTGTAATCTTTTAATCACACTCACGTCATTCCAAAACACAAAAGAAGATGTTTTAAAGAATGTTAGTAACCAAAGAGTTTCAGTTCTCTTTGACTTCCGTCATATGGGCAAAAATTACAATGGAAGTCAATGGGAACCAAAACGGTTTGGTTTGAAACTGTTCGTTAGCGTAATGCTCCCAGAAGATAGAAAGTCGTAACAGGTTTGGAACGACATGAGGGTGAGTTAATGATGACTGAAAGTTTATTTTTGGGTGGACTGAGTTGTCACCGCAATTCGAGGAGTGTTCACTTCCAGCTTCAGCTGATCCAGCTCCATCTTTAGGATGTCTTTATCTGACATGTCCCGGGCCATCCTGTCTGTCCAGAGGACATCAATGAAAGAGGAGAGATGTGAAATTAAGCTCAATATTCAATCTGAAAATGTCTCATGAACAATGCTTGTGCACTGCACACAGTGGCAATCTAACAACATATTAATCCCATAACATTTTTAATGATTTAATCCATGAAAAACAGATTAAATAGATTACATAAAGATAAGAAATTAGATTTAAAAAAAAAATGAATTAATGTATTTAGGTTGATTCAGGGATGTCATATTATATTTCTGATTTGAATAAAATCACAGTTTATTTAGATGTTATTTTTAGGTAACCATTTTTGTCAGTGTACTGTTAAAAGCACTTAATGTAAAAAAAAAAATAGAACGACATGAGGGTGAGTTAATGATGACTGAAAGTTTATTTTTGGGTGGACTGAGTTGTCACCGCAATTCGAGGAGTGTTCACTTCCAGCTTCAGCTGATCCAGCTCCATCTTTAGGATGTCTTTATCTGACATGTCCCGGGCCATCCTGTCTGTCCAGAGGACATCAATGAAAGAGGAGAGATGTGAAATTAAGCTCAATATTCAATCTGAAAATGTCTCATGAACAATGCTTGTGCACTGCACACAGTGGCAATCTAACAACATATTCATCCCATAACATTTTTAATGATTTAGTCCATGAAAAACAGATTAAATAGATTGCATAAAGATAAGAAATTAGATTTTTTTAAAAATGAATGAATGTATTTAGGTTGATTCAGGGATGTCATATTATATTTCTGATTTGAATAAAATCACAGTTTATTTAGATGTTATTTTTAGGTAACCATTTTTGTCAGTGTACTGTTAAAAGCACTTAATGTAAAAAAAAAAATAAAATGAAAAGGAAAAAAAACCTTATAAGCTTAAAAGCTTCTAAATGCTCATAAAAACAATATGCATTGTTCCAAATAAACTTTAACACATATGAAAAAGCTGGGCATTTATAGAGAAGATAAAAGGACTGTAAAATTACTGGAAACCACATTGTGAAAAAATGATTTTCAAAATTTGTTAATAAAGATTATTGGCGTATGTTTTACAAGAAAATCCGATTTCAGCGTTTCTGCTTAAAAATGTCGTGCTTATTCATAATATTAGTTGCCGTTTCTTTGTAATTATTTGTGAAATTTACAAGCAGTTGCTTCTACGCACTGAAAAAAATGCACACACCACACTCACACACACTCACACTCACACACACTCACACTCACACACACACACACACACACACACAAAAGCCATCCATTTACCTGTTGAATGGGACTGGCAGCAGTCAGAGAAAGGTCCTGAAGACTCCTAGGAGATCATCAGCATTGAGACTCCTCTCCTGTCTGATCTCTGGCTCTTCTGCTCTATTTCTGTTCTCCGGACCCCTCCTCCTCAGGTGTGGAGACTGATCCTGGAGGGGATTGCGCTCTGATGTCATCAGCCTGCCCTGATCTCATTAGGCTTGTGAGGAGTCACCTCTAAACAACACTGAAACACTGCCGCTGTCCCTCAAATGCTGCACTGATGGAATTACTCTGTCAGCTATCATCAATGGCTTTTAGTAAGGATCTAAGCATCTGAACTTCTGCCTAGACAGAGCTCAGTGTGATTTGTATATTTCTGAGCATTAGTTGAAGCAGAAAATATTCATTTCCAAAGTGAAATGTTCTGTGAGAGACACTGAAGAAGTCGTCAGACGGCCTGGAGCCAAACATGTCTTACTGTCCTGCCTCAATGCAATTAAACATCTACAGGTTTGTTTAAACAGGACATTGATTTTGCAGTCTTCAAGTTTTTCATCAATACAAACTCTGTTAATAGCCAGGCGTGATAAATACTGAAACATACAGTACCGTTTAAAAGTCTGGCCTCAACAATTTTGTTGTTGTTGTGAAATTAATACTTTTATTCAGCAAGTACTCATGAAAATGATCAAAAGTTACAGGAAAGACGTTTAAAATTTTACAAAAGATTTCTATTTCAAATAAATGCTGTTCTGTGAATCTTGAAAAATAACATGCATGAAAAATATTGTGCAGCACGACCGTGTTCAACATTGATAATAATCAGAAATGTTTCTTGAGCAGCAAATCAGCATATTAGAATGATTTCTGAAGATCATGTGACACTGAAGACTGGAGTAATGATGCTGAAAATACAGCTTTGATCACAGAAATAAATTACAGTTTAACAGATATTCACATAGAAAACAGCTGTTTTACATTCTAATAATATTTGACTGTTTTTACTGTATTTTTGTTTATTTGGTGAGCAGAAGAGACTTCTTTAAAAACCAACCCTAAACTTTTGAACAATAGTGTGCATTGGAGTATTAATGGACTTAAAGGTCCCATATTTTACACCTTTCTGGAGTTTTATTTTAGGTTTTGATGTCCTTAAGAATATATATTTGCGGTATAAGTACCAAAAACCATCTCAATATATTTCAGTTTTGACAATATGGGACCGTTAAGGAGGAAGAAAAAAAACATTATTTTTTAAATTTAATTCAACCAAGAAACCAAATCTTGATAATTATTAAAAATGGTTATAAAAATCACCTTGGTTGATTTTGTTATATTGTTTATTAAAAACATGTCTCTTTTTAGCACATCAGAATACAGAACATAAAATAGGAGAGTCCTTCCAATATACAATAATATATGAATAATATATAGCTATATGAAATTTTTTTTTAGTCTTTGGTTAACTATAATAACCCTGGCAAAAAAGACAAATGTTTCAGGAATACAAGTCAAGTCAAGTCAAGTCAAGTCTGCTTTATTGTCAATTCTTCCAGATGTACAGCACATACAGACAGAGAATTGAAATTGCGTTACTCTCAAACCCTTGGTGCATACAGATAACACTAACAGTAGAACATAAATACAGATATACAGATTAAATATACTATACAAATATACAAATAAGGTAAAATGTAACAAATATATAAAAAAATATATATAAAGCAGCACACGGCACATGGCAGATAGAGTGCAAACCAGTGAAGTAAACAACAGTGCAGATATAATGATTTGTAGTGCAAGAGCTTATTCAGACTGATTAAAGTGACAAAAAGCTAAGAGTTCCCAGTGTGTTAGTGGGAGGGGGAGTGGAAGGACCTGGGGATGTGGGAGCTGGGG